TTTATTTAAATTCATTTGTTTGTATTGTTCATCTTCAAAGCTTACAATCTGAAGGTGTCCGTTCCTACACTGGTCAGACCACTGTCCTTGGGGCAGCTGGGGTCTCTGGGACCCTCCACCGGGCTCGCCGGTCCGTCGGACTTCTGGCTGAGATCCGTGTCAGACTCCTCCGAATAGTCGTCTGTTGGCATCGAGGGCTGAACCCCTGAGGTGCTGCATGAACTTGAGGTAACCGTTGAAGATGAGGAGAGAGGAGGAAAAGAAGGGGGCTTCGCGGCCGAAGCCCGGGAGACCACTTGCGGCCAAGACTTCCTGGAGGCGTGGGGGGAAGCGGAGGAGGAGGAGGGGGCGGCGGCCGACGGGGGAGGGGGGCTGTCGTTTGAGTGAGCGGCAGACTGCGAGGTAGATGCGGTGCTAGGATCGGGGAAGCAGGCAGAGTGAGGTAATAAACTAGGGTGCTCTTTGGCGTTTCTTGCTGCTCTCGTGATTGTTCTGTGTTTGTGCAAGGCTGACTCGAGATGTTGACTCAGAGCTTCCTCCCCACACAGCGCGCTCTCGCACGCCAGGCAGTGGTACGAGCCGCCGCCACTCCCGCCGCCGCCGCCGCCACTGCCCCCGCCCGTGGGGACGTGAAGCACCATCTCTTGCAGGTTCACCACAGACTGGCCGAAGAAGCAGAGGGACTTCAGGTGGCTCCTCGCCGCCTCCTCGTCGCTGAAGCCCGCCTGGCACTTGCGGCAGACCAACTTGTACTGCACCTTTGGAACAATGAAGGGGTCGTAGAGGGAGTCCGCACTTTTGCTTTCTGCTTCTGGCTCTTCGGGGGGTTTCGGCAGGAGGGGGGACACCTCGCGGGGTGCATTTTTCTGCTCTTCTGGTTTGGGGGATTCTTTGGCAGGGTCTTTGTCCGGGGAGGCAGCCCTCTGGGGGGCTGGGGTCTGGCTTGCTTTGGGCGGCTGCGCTTTCTGCTGCTGGAGTCGCTGCTGCTGGAGCGCCTCCTGCAGGCTCTGCTGGTATTGCTGGTACTGCTGCAGGAGGGAGCCCGGGGACAGCCCCATGAGGGCCTGCGACAGCGCGGGGCTGTAGGGGAACAGGCCTTCCATGCCGTACATGGGCTGCAGGTAACCGCTCTGCAGGGCGCCGGGGATCTGGGGGGCGTAGTAGGGGGAGAAGCCTGGTACGAAGTAAGGAAGGAACTGGCTCGTGAGCAGCGCTGTGGGGTCCGAAGTCAAGGCCGCCTGCAGCGCCTGCAGCTGGGCAGGGTCCACTGCATACTCCATGGTGGGCAGCGGGGCTGTGAGCGGGGCTGCAGCCGCCGTGGGGGCCTCTCCTTTCTCCTTCTTGGGGACAGGAAGGGTCTCCCCTTTCCCTTTGTGTGCCTTTTCCTTCTCTTTTACCTTCTCACCGTCTCTGTCCTTGCGTGGCTGTAGCTGCTGTTGTGGCGGGAGCTGTGGCACAGGTGGCGGCTGGGCTGCAGGCGGTGGCTGCACCTGCGGTGGCTGCGGCTGGGTCTGGGGGGGTTGCTGAGGGGCCATCGCCATGGTGGCTTGTGCTGGGGTCGGGGAGCTCAGCGATGCTGAGGATGGTTTATTTGGTAATCCGGATGTGGGGAGGCCAGGGGAAGGAACTGTTGTGCTGGGCAGACCCATCAAGTTCGGTTTAGGAGATGTTAAAGCTGAAAGGAATGGAGACAGAGAAATCATGCGTCAGTCTGGGGTGGTGAGGCTGAAGCTCAAGACATCTGACCTGTGTCACTGGCACAGAGTCTGAGAGCTCAAGGTTTACCCTTGAAGGATCCTCTCAAAACCAGTGTTTTCAACAAAGGTACCCTGCTGGGCTCGAGGTCCGGATAGCCTTGAATTCTTACCAGGACCCAGTCCTGAGTCAGCTTCCATGCTTCCCCTTTCAGCTAAATACCTTCCACACCCGCTAGTTCACATTTTCTTTGCCATGCTCTCAGCTACCAGTCATTCCACCCAAGGCAGTTAGTCTGGAGGTCCCCAAACAAGCGGTCTCCTGCTGGGACCCACTGAATCAAAGGTCTTTATCAAAGCTCCACAGGAATAGTACAGCCACTGGAGGTTGTCTGGAGGACAGAGGTAACAGGAGAAGAAAGCAAAAGCAAGAAGCCTGGCCAGGCATGAAGGCCACATGAACAAACACAACAGACTCCACGTGATGTGTGTCCCTCTGATCTCCACTGCTGCAGCCGAGTGGATGTGTGAGGAGTGGGAAGAAATAAAAACAATCCATTCAGGGAAAACTGTTCCAGCAAACTGTTCCACTGCTTTGGCTCAGCTGATCTGCTTTAACAAGCCTATTGAAAAATTTTTCTAGGAAAGGATTCTGGAGTCTGCTGGAGAACTGAGCGTTTTCTCCTCCTGCCCCTCTTTAAAGGACATACAGAAGAGCTAGGGCTGCAGAGGTTTGAGAACTCAGCCACGGAGTAAGGAGAAAAGCAGTGTCAGAAATGGAACAGCTCAAAGTGCTGGCAACACCAGTTCCTAAGACACCACAGCCTCCCCCAGGCATCAGTGCTTATGGGGAGTGAAGGCCTTAGACCACACCACCCGGCCCACATGGGGTACAGGCCCGTCTGCAATCACTCTCAGGCCTAATCTACCACTACCTGTAAAGCCTTTGCTCAGCCCATGGCCCAATATTCCCCCTGGCCAGCTCCTGGGTTGAGTCTTCTGTTCCAAGGTGACAGGAAACAACAGTACACTGCAGGTGCATTAGGACTAGCAAGGTGGAGGGAAGGACATGGTGCGCTGGATGGTAAAATGCTGAGAAAAGACAAGAGTTGAGAAGAGTTCACAGGCAGCAGCAACCCTCCAATCACCTTTACATTCACCACAACCAAGAAACCAGACAGCACACATCCCCTCACTTCAGAGAATAGCAAAATGTAAAGTCAAATGTCCTATAGCCTCTCACTATTTCGTGTAGACCACCTTCTGCCAGAAGGCTGGGACTGGGGATTCCATAACATGACACTGTCCTTGTGAGAAGAGACACTGGAAGCCTAGAGAAGACAATGTTGACTTCCGGCTACAGTGGTGCCCTGTCTACTGGACTACCACACTACATTTAAAAACCCTCAAATTTCAGATGAAGAGAAAAAGATGGTTCAAGTTACCAAGACCAGAAAAATACCCACTGCTGTTTGGTCAGCCGACAATGACACTTCCCTCAGCATTGCATAGGATCATTAATTTACTCTCCCAAAACAGCAGAAAGGGTCTGCTGAGATGAAGTCACCTAATTTCCTCAATGCACATAAGCGACTGAAACCAGAGGAGGAGATGTGTCTGATTCAGAAAAACTCAGTAAAGGCTCATTGGTTAAACTGGCATAAATGAGGTGACGACAGAAAGCCTCATGGGCTCTAAACTCGGGATGTGGCTCTTCCTGTCCACCTCTAGGCACGGGCTTGCTGCACATTTTAGGTTGGAGTCAAAGCCAAAAAAATCAGTGGGCGAGGAATCAACATCCAGAGATTTCCCCATTTCAATGGCATCAGGCTTTCAGGAGTAGGATCCAGGTCAGAAGGCATTAAACTGGCTTTCTGAGATTTTAAGAAACATTTACAGAACCCCTGCTATTTACCAAGCTTTCTCTGCACAAAGTCAAATTTGATATGGTAGCTCAGTACATTTCTGCAATAATTCGGTGGCCACAGTTTTCTCAACTGTAAGATCAGAACCCAGCAAGGCACTTCATGCCCCTGAGACTTAGTTGTGCACCTCTTAGAGTCAGACTGATGAGGTGTGGATTGTGGCTGACACACATCTGCCATGTGACCTTGAGCCACTGACTGCTCAGAACCTCAGCTTTCCACAATAGATGGTTGTAGGGATCAATGAAAGGTCCTTTGGAAAGAGCTTACCACTGGGGCCACCACATTACACACGAGTTCCTTGCCTCCCATCCCAGATCCGGTGCTCCCAGGAGCTGTGGTACAGCCAGGTGGTGGTAGAGGGGGCACGCCTAACTGCCTTAAATAATTAAGAGCATATCTTTCTATCTCGAGTCCACTCTAAGTGGTCAGAACCTGAGTAGCACTAAACATATACCTGTTGACTGACTGGCTCATATTGGGTGTTGTGGAAGGAGCACATAGCACTGGGAGCCCGGAGGCCTGGGCGGGAGCTGTGGCTCCTACCCTAGCTTGCTGAATGGTCTTGACCTCTCTGGGCCTCAGTTTTCTCATCTGTAAAACAAGGGCAATAGATCAGACATTCTGATTCTAATTGTTTCACATTGTGAAATATCGGGCCTTCCCAAGCCCCTCTGCCAAGGGCCTGGGCCACAAGGGCAAATCAGTGCTTGGTCACTTTCTATACCTTGGCTCTCTCGGCTTACGTCTAGCTGCCTTTAGCATCATTCTGTGACATTACTGGCCAACACATATAAGCAACAACTTCTACATCTTGATGCTTTCTTTTCTTGTTCTTTGGATAAGAAGCGGGGACCAGGAACAAGTAGCCTCATGTTGAGTGCAACTCAGCCAAAGCAGTAAAACTTGGATTTAATTCAACCAGAAACCAGGAATGCTCTGGGAAGCAGAACCACTTCAGTCCCTGGGAGCAGGGACATGTGAAGGCAGGGAGCTCCTCTGAGGGGGCTCTCCTTTGGCGCATGTACGCTGGCCAGTGCAGGCCATGGAGGGCACCTGCTGACTTGTGCCTAGGTCTCAGATGGTCCTAGGGGTGAAGGTCCAGTTTAGGGAAGGCAGCTGGGTCCAGAGAAGATGGGTGAGGACAGAGGAGGAGAAACAAGAGGAAGAACCAGGAAACTCCCTCTTAGGTGGTAAGAGTACCAAGTATATGACTCTGTAGTTGGGATTTGGAGGAGGAAAGAGAGGGAGATGGGCAAAAAGAAATGAAGCCATGACTGAAGATGCCCCAAAATGACCATTAACATTTTTTTGTCTGGCTGGAAGACTAACACAACCAACATGTCAAAATTTAGAACCACACTGTCCAATACAAGCTTCCTGGTGAGCACACTTAAGGTCAAAGGTAGTCTCACAGGAAATGAACACAGCCATCATTACTCAGGCCAGATGGGAACCCCAGGAGTAAGTATCTGCCACCCAAGAGCGTCTTCCTGAGAACAGCACCCCTGCTGGGACAGCTCCCTGAAAAGGTGGGGGCAAGGGCCACAGGGGAGGGCAAGGGATTGATTAAAATGTTCTGGAACCAGTTTCCATAGGGCATCATCCAGAACTAGCTGGGAGATGCAGATGTCTCACATCTTCAACACATACCTAGATGAGGTTGGCACTTCCACAAGGACTGAAAGGAAGGGTCCGCGATGGAAAGCTCTTGCTGGAAAATATCCCAGGATCTAATATGTCAGCACTCTCAAGTTCTTCCCTATAGCACACACCCTGTTTGTGATACTAAACACAGGGCATGAGAAGGTTTCAGCAGAGACTGCTCCAGCCAGGAGGTCCCATCCCTGAACCGGGGAGTCAAAGACCACATACACCACAGCGCTAGGGAGGTTGAGCAGCAAGGATTGGGAGTTTTGTTGCTGTTCAAGAACTAAAAAGGGAAGCTTCCTATCTGCCCAACAACTCCAGAGGGCTTGGGTGGTAGCTACAGAACAAAATGCTAATCGGGTGGCTCCTTACTGCCGAAGGAAGCCCCCAGAGCAGAACCCACCTGTGTTAGATGGAGTAAAGCCCGGCAAGGAGGGGCTGTTGAGGCCTGGAAGCAACACCGGCGGGATGCCCTGGAGCGCCGGATAAGCCGCAGGAAGGTTAAGAGCTTGGAGAGGGGCGCTGTCAAACATCCCTTGCTGCTGGGCTGCCAGCCCAAGGACCTCATTGGCTTTTTTAATCCGGTCTAACTCTTGCTGAGCCATCAACTGACGTACAGTGGCTGGGTCAAAATATTCTTTCTCCTTGTCCAACTGGCTTCCAATGGTGTCTTTAACTTTGGAGATATGCTGTTGGGAAAAGATATGGTCACGTACAGACAGCCGAGCGCTGTACTTGATGCCACACAAAGTGCACTCTGTTTTGGGTCCCTCATAACTGGTTTGGTTTATACCAAAATGCTTGGCCATGCTTAGCTTGGACTTCTTTTCTTTTGCCCGGGCATTCTGGAACCAGACCTGAACAACTCTCTTTGGCAGTCCAATGTCATTGCCCAGGACCTCACACTCTAGCATGGTGGGTGTCCTGTAGTCATTAAAGCATGACTTAAGGACCTTCAGTTGCAGATTGGTCATCTGAGTGCGAAAACGTTTCTGCCCGGGCCGATCCCCGCTCTCTCCAGATTTGCCTGCTGACCCGCTTGCACCGGGACTTGGGGAACAGGGGTCTGCAAGGCTTGAGGTTTCACTGTAGTCCACTGTACCTTCATTGTCATATTCCTTGCTGTAAAAGCTCGGGGCTGGGCTGACCAGACCAGACGACAAGCGATCTTCATACTCGGACATTGCCATCATGGCTGCTTTGGTCAACCCTTCATTGGGCGCGGAAGAGGATTTGGTTTCAGTTGCTATTCCCGTTGCACTGTCATTATCTGCATTGCCCTCATCTCCGGTAGTGGTATCTGTGATTGCCGTGTTGACAGAGGAACAGTCATCGTTGTCCAGCTTGGTTTGGTCAAAATTTAGATTAACTGAGGACATAGAGGGGCTTTCAAAGTCTTCAATCCCTTCCACTTTGATGGAAGAAGGGCTAAGAAGAGTTCTGGGAGACAACTCCATGGTTTTACTCACAGGTGAAAGGGGAACACCTTGGCCATCACTACTGCTTGGGGGTAGGTGGGAGAAGCTTGTTCCATCAAAAATATCTCCTTTCATCTGGAGTCCCCCATCACAGTCTAGGAGCATTGCAGACAGAGTTAGGTTGTAGCCAGCTCGCTTGGCTTCGTGCCAGTGACGGGACCGGATGTGAGCCTCCAGGGCAGTCTTGGCTTTGAAGAGCGCTCTGCAAAAGGGGCACCTCCTGTGGGCCTGGGCTGGGCCCACAGCCCGGAACTGCCCTTTCCTTTCCCGGGCTCGGGTGTTCTGAAACCAGACTTGTACCACACGTTTCTTCAAGCCCACCTCATGCGCAATATGATCCAACATCTTCCGAGTTGGATTAGAGTCTAAAAGATACTTTTGGTAGAGAATTTCTAGCTGCTCAGGTGTAATGGTTGTCCTCAAACGCTTGTCTCTCTGAGGCTCTTCTCCTCCCGTCCCACTGTCATTTTCCCCAGGGCTTGCACTGGCCTTTTCCTCCAGCTTCCTCTTCAGAGTGTTCATTGTGGAAGTTGGGGTTGAAGGAGAAGTGGCTGAGCTCACCGGAATCTGCGGTATGGCCCCAGAGAGCAGCTGGCTTGCCAGGAGCGGGTTACTAGGGTCAAACAGCATGAAAGGCATATCCAATGACCTGTCCAAAAACTGTGGGTGGATGAACTGGTTCTGTGCACTCAGGAAATGAAGCTGCTGATGCTCCTGCCAGTGCTCAAATGATGGAAACGCCAACTTACACTGGTCACACTGGTAGGGGATTAGCTGAGGAGGTAGGTTTGCCAACTGTTGAGGGGTTGAGGTGTGGAGGGGCTTGAGGGGCAGATGGGAGAGCTGGGAAGGACTGGGGCTCGACTGGGGCATGGGGCACTGAGGCGGCGGGGCTTGTGGAGGAGGCTGTGGTAAGGAAGGGGGGCATGTCAGTGGCGGGAGCTTTTGCTGGGCTGCGTTTGTCTTCTGCTCAGGCGGGTCTTGCTGTTGCAGCTCTGCCTTTGGTTGTCCTTGCTTTTCTTGGGTTTGGTTTGGCTGTGCACTGGGAGGTTCAGCCTGCTTTGGTTTCTCATCACTCACCTCTGTTTTTGAACTGAAGGTGGCCAGTTCATCGGCCTCCACGGTGAGCTGTAAAAAAGCGGAGGAAGCCGAATTGGCTGATGGTGCTGGGGCGCTGTAAGCCTGTGAAGGCATCGGGGTGCTGCAGGAGGAGCTGGTGGGCGTCAGGATTTCCATGGCGTCCATGGAATCCTCATTTTGGCTGTCTTCCTGCCCCTCCTCGTCCTCATCCTTGTAACACAGCTTCTTCTGGTGTTTGATAAGATCAAAGATGCGCTGGAACACCAGGCTACACTTTTTGCACTGGTAGTTCAAGTTGCTTGTTCGAATATACCTGTCATTCGTAAGCTCACGCCGTTCTCCATCTTTGCCCTCTCCCTGATTCTCGTAATTTTTACGGGCCTTCTGTCGGGCATTTTGGAACCACACCACTATGACTCGGGTTGGAAGGTTTAGTAAATTAGAGAGTTGCTCAAATTCATCATCCTTTGGGTAAGCATTGGCATCGAAGAAGTCCTGCAGGACCCTCAGCTGGTAGTCAGTAAACCTTGTCCTTGAAGACCTCTTGCTTCCCCAGTACTCCTGCTTCTGCGGCTCTGGCGACGGGGGCCGCGAATCAATCTTGAGCTCCTCCAGGCTGGTGATGGGAGGATTGCTGAAGTTGTAAGGGGAGTCCTTATTACGCTGCCGCTCTTTGAAGAGGGTGTTTCTGAACCAGTGCTTGATCACCTTCTGGGGCAGCCCCGACTTGTCCGCCATCTCTTTGATCTGCTCCTCACTGGGGGAGTTGTTAATGTCAAAGTACTGCCGCAGGACTCGGAGCTGGTCATCCGTGATCCTGGTGCGAGGTCTCTTGCTCTGCTGCTGCAGCAGGCTGGGATTGAGCTGATGCTGGTACAGCTGGGCCAGGTCTGTGGGCAGTGGTTCCACTGGCCCAAGCTGCGGGGGTAGCTGAGCCGGCAGGGTCTGCAGCGGCATCGTCTGCATCATCAGCGGCGAGAAGATGGGCAGCTCCATGGGCATGGAGAGCTGTGTGAGCGGCACAGATGGCTGGGCTGGCGCGATCGGGGGCGATGTGATGGGCGGGGCCACTGCTGGGACTGCAGGCGTGGAAGCTGGCTGTGGGGGCGCCGCAGGCAGGGGCGGTGGCGGCGGTGGTGGCGGCGGTGCGGGCTCCGGGGTCTGGGGCCGTAGCGGGTACAGTTTGTCGTAGTGCTCTCTGTACTGTTTGGCAAACCTCTCCAGCTGCTTAAAGGGAAAGTAATTTTGATGGACATGCTCCTGGTGACTCTTTAAGATCAAGATGTTGGAGAACAATTTGCCACAGGAGTCACACTCCAGCTTCTCCAGGTTTTCTCCCTGCTCGGCCCTCCCGTTCTTCTTCTGCACCTTCTGCTTGTTCTCGTTGTACTGGATGACCAGCTCAAAGCCGAAGTTCTCCAGCAGGGCCTTGGTAGCATTTCCCCTGGCGTCTGAGGCGATGCGTGGAGGCGGCATGGCTGGCTCGGGGCCGCCTCCAGGCACCAGCTCCTTCCTCTCCTTGGCCTTAGGGGCGTCTGCCGGGGGCTCCTTCGGTGCTGCGCTGCCCTCCCCCACTTCGGCACCGTCCCTCTCTCTCTGGCCTTCCTTCTCCTTCTCTTTGATGGCCAGTTTGTTCTTCTTCTCGGGGTGCTGGCTTGGCTGCAGGAGGGCGGGGTGGCTCTGGGGCAGTGACAGCTGGCTTTGGTGTGGCGGCTGCTGCAGGATCTGCTGGTGGCCCTGTGGCGGGACCTGAACCTGGGCCTTCAGCTCCTCCAGCAGGCCTGGACCCGTCCCGGCCAGCGCCAGGGCACCGCCGCTCACCGGCAGGCTCGTCTCGGGGTTGAGCTGGAAGTCGGCGCTGGGGATGTAGAAGGGGAAGAGCAGATGCTGCTGCTGGAGCTGCAGCAGCGTCTCTGTGGTCATGGGGAAGGGAGGCAGGAGTGTGGGGCTGAACAGCTGCGACTGGATCAGCGCGGCCTGCTGCTGCAGCTCCTGCTGCAGGTGCGCCTGTGCCTGCGCCTGTGCCTGGGCCAGTGTCTGCGCCTGTGCCTGCGCCTGCTGTTGCCTGGACGCGATCATGTCTGCCAGCTTCTTCCGGTTGGTCTCCTTGGGCTCTGAAGGGGGAGCGATGCCACCCCCGACAGGGGTCCCGGGGGGTGGTGGCCCGGCGCTTTCCGTGGGCACCTGGCTCAGCAAGCCGGCACTTGAGGTGCAGCCTGCACTGCTGGAGTTGGCGGTGGTAAAAGTGTTATTGCCACTGGTGCTTATGGGACTTGGGGCGCAGGAGCTCAGGGGAACGCCGCTGGGGCCGGGCCCGCTGCTGCCGCTGCCTGCAGCCTCCAGCTTGGCTGCTCGGGCCTTGGTCTGATGCAGCACGGACCTCATGTGGATCTCTAGAGTAGAACTCTGGCTGTAGGCCACATTACAGGTGTTACACTTGAATGGCTTGTTGTCTGGGCTGCTGGTGGGTTCTGGCTGACCCGTCGCCGATTCTTGAAGGGCTCTCTTTAATTTATGCAGGTGGGAGACGGAATTGTAGTGCACCAGCAGGATGTTCTTCTGAGTAAAAGATTCCTTGCAGACAGTACACTTGTAAGGGCGAGAAGGGTCTAGAAATTTTTCCATGGTGAAGTTGGGACCTTTTCTGAAAGGTAGAGCTCTTTTTGGCTCTGAGCCCGAGTCCTCTTGTACTGACCCAGAGTCGCTGCCTGTTGGGCTCTGTTTATCTTCCAAGTCACTTTCTTCCTCCTTGTCCTCCTCAACGATTATGGTGTGGTCCTCAGCCAGGGTGGGGTCTCCCATTGCCAGGAGGTCCCCATTGGCCAGAAGGCCTCCATAAAGCTGCTGGATGTCGGCCTCACTCAATTCCAGGTGGCTCGTCTCAAGGTGTTTCTTCAGAGCCTGGAAAGTTCGGAAACTGCGCTGACAAAGACAGCACATAGTGGCGGCTCTGATCACGTGGTACTGAGAATGGAGCTGCAGCTTTTCAATGGTCTTGAAAGCCAGGCTGCACTGATTGCAGCGGTACTTGTACACGTGGCGATCTGACACTGGCAGCTGAGGCCTCTTGGCATGAACCTCATTGAAGTGTGTCTGAAGAGCTGCCGAAGTTTTGAAGACCTGATTGCACCCCTTCTTCCAGCACAGGAAGCCGGAATCTTCTCTCACAGAGCCAGGCTCAGCAGGGGAGGGTCTCAGATCCCCACTGTGCTCTGTGCTCATGGAGGGCAAGATGTTCTTCCCCAGGTCCTCTGTGGTTTCTGTAAAAAAAATCATCAAGCCCAATGATAAAGAAGGCTTTGTTTCAAGGATGGTACCCAGAGCTGTCGACCCAAGCAAGGCCTCATGAACACAGATTCTCTCCACACAGCCTCCCACTTTCTCCCCAAATCCCGCAAAAAAAAAAAGAATACATATAAGTAGTACACACTATGAACAGAGAGGAATAAAAGGGAATACAAAACGTTTCAACTCCTAACAGGCCTGTGTCATATCACAGATCTGTCTTTTGAACATTTAATTGCCAGATTCAGAATCCTCAACTTCTTGAACTGGTTTTACATGGATCTGATTTGTAGAATATGTGAATTAATGCTGTCCTAAGTTGTGGGGAACTTACGAGAACAGCAGTTATTATACAAGACATTTTGGACTTTTTTTTTTGACATTTAATTTCTTGTGATAATGTGACTTTTGACTGTCTTCTCTATTCAATTAGCAGTAAACGTTCAAGGGGCCAATTATTAAAATACATTAAAAAATTTTTTCTACAGTGAGATCATCACACCCATAAATATTCTGACCCTTTTTCAGGTCAGCTGTCCACTGCCTAATATGGAAAAAACCACAAGTGAGATGTGGGGCAGTCGTGTGGTTGAACTCTTCCCAACTTAAATCTTAGCTGCTGACGAGAGGGGAAGAACTAGGAGGGCCTCACAAACCAAGGGCTAATGACCCATTCTAGCTTAGAACCCCTGAGGGACACCACCAGCAGCATCATGTCTACCACAGGGCTCTTTCTAAATGCACTATGCTGGTTCTTAGGGCAACCCAGAGACTCTGAGGAGAGCTCTGTGCAAAGGCAGCTCCTCGGAAGACAGCTAATCCAGTGCCCTGAAATCACCCACGTGTTCCACAAGTCCTAAAAATTAAGTCCTCAGAGATTGGGTGCTTAATGGCTTAGGACAGGGAGCCGTGGCTGTACTGACTAAGTCTCTGGTTAGTCACTCCCTAGTAAATATATAGTCTAAGGGGACATATATCCCCTAAAACCCCATTGGTTTTCTTCACCTGATTTTCTCTTGCTGTAAACCATATGAATAGTACACACATACATGACAACCCGAGTACAGGGCAGATGACAGCACTGCCCCTTGATCAGTCACCTTCAGCTCAGGAGGGCTGCAGAGGGCTCTTGGCACCTCTTGCTCTCTGAAAATTCTGCCGAAGGTCTCATTTTGTTCCCATTCCCAGGGGTCAAGAATAGTGACACTAACCAGGCTGCTTTCCTGCCTCCTCCAAACTGGAGCTCCCATCTCGATCTGGAGCCGCTGCCGGGAGGAACATGCTGCTGGGCATCACCATCTCAGGGGTGGTCACCTGCGAAGCAAGAGCCAGAGGAAGGAGGAGAGTCAAAATGCAGAGGAAAGAGACACAAAATAAGGCAAATGTGTAAAAATTATTTAATAAGCAAAATTAGCCTTCGCCAGTGGAAAGCAGGACGTGTCACTTTTCATAGCTCACTGAAGATTCATGTTTATTAGACAAAGCTCACATCAGTCAAAAGTGTTTCTACGGTTACATTCTGGACATAATTAGCAGTGCACACTTGAAGAATAATCTTATTATTAATATTTTTCCTTTATGCAGAATTTTGACTTTGATCACTGACAATGTTTTGTCATGGGCTGTGAAACTTCTTGTGCAACCAATTAGGTAGATAAGTTGAAAGGCCCACCTTAAGCTGCTGAAAACATAATAAGGGCCCTAATTAAATCATACCTAGTAAAGTACACTGTAATCTTGAAGCAGGGAGCATTGTAGTACTGTTTTCAAAATGTATTCAGGCAAGAAGAGGCGGGGAACAGGAGCAAAGGAAAGGGTAAGAAGAGGAGAGAACAAAGGGAAGGCTAAGGACACGCAGACGCGTTGGCAGATTTTCCAGGAAACGATATTTTGTAACCCTTTACAAGCTGAGATCAAGTGCACATGAGCATTTCTTATGACTCACTTTGGCCTAGATTTCTTCTGGAGACTTCCTGAGTGGCACAGTATCAGAGGGAACCTCCGGCCAGTGTCCCAGCCACAGAGGACATCCCACACGGCATTCTACAACGGGGCAGCCCCACCCTGACCACGGTTATTGTTGCCTAAGACAACAATTCCATAATTAGCCTGGATCACAAGAGCTATAGTTTTAGCTAAGATCCTCAAACGTTTCTCCAGGCCTCCTCCCTACTATCTGACCACAAGCTTGTCCAACTTATCATTTGCTCTATGTTAATGTGACGAGCAGCCCTCAATATCCAGTGCAATAATGGGAGTTCTTCATTTACAAAGAAGCAGTGTCTCTTTGCCTGCTACAGGGTGGAAAGGTACTCGGCAATGATACTCCAGATGACTTAGAATCGTCTCCTGTTTGCGGACAGCCTGAGAAATGAACTATCTAGAGGTAATAGGAACAGACACTACAGTCACCATTAACCTTTCTACATGGCACCCAGCCCCACCTGGAAGCATTATTTCCCCATTACACACAACTATGATATCTTTACTTGTTGTTGCAAAGACTGGAACACCTAGATTACTGTTGAAAATATTTTAAGTGAATCACTATTAATTTTTCATGGTTTGACGATCCCGGCCTTTATCAACATAGCTGCTGGCATGTTCACCATCATCACAGATAGGCTCCAATCCTAAAGAAAACCCAGACAACTGTCCCCATACACACCAAAACTCCTCAGTACATTTAGGGTATTAGAATAATTTTAGCAACCTAGATGCCAATAGGTGCAAAAATTAAGCAACAGGCACCATGGAGAAGTGTTCTGAGAAGCCCCATGTTTCCAAAGAGCAGGTGCATGGCAGGTGAATGCGTGTGACATAGAATTTCTGCTCTCAGACATCTGCACCCTCACACACAGCTCGCTGGCAGCTGGCTAAGGCTAGCTGTTGATGAATCGTTAGGAACGGAGCAGAGATTGCCAAACTCATTCCATCTATTTTCTTTTTAATAGAAAGCATTTCTGACCAGGGTGGTTGGGAGTCCAGCGGGAATCCAAGAAGTGAAAGGTCACCGATTAATTTACAGTCCTCAGCTGAGGGGGAGCACGAGGTTGGGGCCAAGAGAGAGAGAGAAAGGGAAAGGAAAAAAGACTCCCCCCCACCTCCTTGCACGGTTGTAGCTGCAGGATCAGTCCTTTCCTGGGATCTTTAGGAATTATGAAAAATGAATCATGAGAAATAAAAAAAAACCCTACAGAGTAAAAAAGAATAAAATTATCTAACACCTCAGCTGCACATCATTATAGAAAACTGTGGGCTTTTTATACGCATTACAGTAAGGCAGACATCCCCTCTAACAGACTCGGTACGACGGATCAGTAATTGTTTTCATACACTTTAATTAGAAAAACTCAGATGGCTATGAATAATAATGGAAAAGAGAGACTTTTGCACTTGAAAGGTTGAAGTCAATCAAGTGTGAATGACGGCAAAAAAGAGAAAAAAAAGACACCAATTCATCAGCCCTCTGTTGTCGCGCTGCGACTTTAATCATAATTCCTGATTGGGATTCACGAAGGCAGTAAGCGGCGGTTCTTTGTCTGCGTTCTCCTTCCATCAATTAACTCTCCCCGAAATATCATCATCAACCTCACGTGCTCCTCTGCATCTTAATCTGGGCCTCCAAACCTGTAAGTCTTGCCCCATATGTGTTTAAGTAATTACTTTTATCTACCCGCATCTTCTCATCTAAGTATACCCAACGTGTCTCTGGGGGAAAAAAGATTTGGTGTGTAAAATTTTAATGGACAAGGTATTCCCAGGAGGCAGAGGAAGATCCCCAAAGGGAATCCTAAGGATCTAGAAATTCTGGTGGGGTTTATCTGCATGTGTGTCTGAACAGAGAGGTTGAGAACAGAAGCCTCCTTCCTGCACAGGATCCCGGAAGGCCCCACAGCAACTCTCAGATGCTAATGTTCTGCTGCCTGTGTCCAATCCTACCTGTCCTACCAGCTTCTGAAGATTTTCATTCAAAATTTGTATGCTTTTTTTCATGAAGAGCCATGAACAGAGTCCTGTCAGCTCACTGAGCAGTTCTGCTCACTGAGGAACAGGAGAGTTGGGGAAGGCAGAGTTCCTTCAACACCTGCCTTGGCACCCACCTTGTTTTCCAGGCCTATCTGGTTATCAAGCCATGTGGAAGGTTCAGACCGCCCCAGCCACAGTCTCTGATGGGCAGTTCAAAGTCTGTGTGACAGGCAATCACTCAACTCTGCTGAGTGCCATTGTGGAAAGTCCTCCCGCTTTGCCAGGAGCATTGAAGCACATAGGTGTGAAAGGACGAAGCCCGGCCACAGCAGAACCAGAGCCATCCACATGTGCCTGAACCTCAGAGGCCCTCAACATCTCCCAGCCAGCTCCCCTGCAAAGACAACGTGTGCATGCACACACACACACACACACACCCCATGCACACACTCACTCTCTCACCCTTCCCTCTCCTCTCCCTCTGCCTGCTATCCCACTCCATTCACAGATTCAAAGGCCAAACAGAGTTTTAGGTTTGGCCAGATGACAGTACACATTGGTTCCAACAGCTACGCTTTCTACATTCACCATACCATCCATGCAGATTGACCCTTCTAATAATTTGTATAACTATAAACACTGACTACGTTTTTTTAAATAAAAAAATCTTTTTTATTATTGGATTGTAATAATTCTTTACATATTATAAATACAAGCCCCTTATTGGATAGTGGTTCCTTCATCCCCCATTACTTTCCTATTTTTTCCCTCCTCAACATTTCCCATCCAACTAGCACTACATCTTCAGAGCTTTCAGTTTTACCAAGTCTTTTTGAAATACTAATAAGAATTTTTCCCATCCTAATTTTTCCCATATTCAGTTAAATGATAGGCACTTCTTAATAAATTTATAATGCAAGGTTTCTTTGTCATTGGGATTCCCCTTTTCACGTTGCTTAAATACCAGAGATATTTTTGTAGCAATTTTGGTTAAAAGTCTACTACTCTGTAAGTAGTAAAAAAAAAAAGCCCTCATTTATTTGTGCCAATTAAATATACATATGCACAAATTATGTCCAAATATTTCCAAAAGTACTTCTTTAGACACTAGAGACACTTTTTTTTCAGTTTCACTTTGTCATCTGTATTTTATGAATCACCTTGACATTGACTACGTTTTATATTATGTAACCCACATTCTACTCACTGATGTACATTAGGGACCTGGGACTATTAAAACAGACTTTTAACCAAAAGTAAAACAATTTTCTGGTATGAAAATTCAATTCATTAGAGCCATTACTTCCCCGGAATATGGGTCTCTCCATTTTGGCCACCTGGTCAAAGGGCAGTTCCATGGTGATCTTCTGGATACTGACCACAGGGGTCCCTCCCTCCCTCCTGAGCCAAGCTGGCTTGGAATATTGGAAGAAACCCATCCTCAGAGCTGAGCTGCTGAAAGACTGAAAACAAACGGCAGCTCTAACATCTTCCTAACAAGCCAACAGGCCTCACATATAACAAGAGAAATCAGAGTTCTGCTCTGATGCTGAAATTCTTCAAGTTTAAGCAATTTTCATATATAATGACAGGAAAAGAAGAGTTCCAGAATGATACTAAAAATCTGAAGCTTACACAATTCCACAACAACTTAGTTGTTGAAAAGGAAGGGCCTCGAGTACCTCTGCTTTTTCATTCATTTGGACATTATCCACTAAACATCACATAGGGCGTCTGCGCTGCAAGCTTAGGAGAGAGAAAGACAAGGTCTCCGTGCCCGAGAAGCTCACAATCCACAATTGTTAACCTTTCAGAAATCATCAACTCAGAAAATCCGATGAAAGTTGTAAATGCCTAAAAAAATACTTTGACACACACACTATTGCAGATGACTTCAGGAAATCACAGGCTCCCTACAGGGAAATCCATGGACTCGAGTTAACTACCCTTGAACTCCTAGAAGAGGTGACAAGAGTTCACAAATACTAGTTCCTACCTCTTGTTTGGTTTGTCATTATTCTGAATTATGATTTACTGCCTTTCAACTTTCTGTGAGGCGAGGGGAACCTTAAAACCCCAGGACATACCTTATAAAACCCAGAGGCTTAGATGTGGGTCTGGTCCCCATTATGACATTTAGGAATGGCCACCGATGTCAATTCTCAAATTGTAAGGAGCCCTCCCTACTCCGTTCTTTTCCCAGGTCATGGATATGGAATGGTCAAATACAACATTCTGAGCAGCCAAGGGATAGTCTTTGCTAAATTCTTATGAGATTATTCACACAGATCCACCTCTCAAGGTCACCCTGTCTGAGATAAGCCAATGCAACCAACTGCTGGAAA